AACATAAATCCTGAAACGTTTCTGCAACGTATATGTAATGAAAAAGTAGCGATTTGCAACGTAAATGCAATGTTCCTTCGCAACATTTGAGCAACATTGACGTTTTGGACATTTAAACATAGATGCAACATTGTTCATCAACATTTCCTAAACGTTGTTGGAATATCTTGTGTTACTTGGGGATGCGATTCACTGTTTATTCTCATATTTACCACTGTTCCTCCATCCCGCGTTGGCCTGGCGAACGTCGTCGCCACCAGAAAACATTTGCTTACATTTATTTCATTGCAGATGCCTTTTCGATTTGGCTCTCCGGAGCACGATGTGCATCTGTTGAGAGAAGTCTTGGATGTGAAGCCCTTCTCCCAGCCGGTCATGAAAGCTGCATGGGAGGATGTGTCAGCTTCTCTCAACGACATGGGAATGGCGGTTACATATCTAACGTGCCGTGACCGCACCTTGAAGTTGATCAACAAGCCAGGGAGCGAAGCCGATTTAGATGGAGAGAAAGAGCAGCTGCTGCAACAAGTAAGGGAGGATTACCTTCAAGGATTGGCATTGCGCGAGGAAAAGAAAGGCAAACGTGCAAGAGAAGCCTTTAATAATGTAACGACAGTGACATCGTTTTATCCATCGCCATCAACATTAACTTGGGGTTAGTCTTTCCCATTTTTATTTGAAAACAGCGAGTTTCCAGTGATTGTGATCCGTTACTTTCAAATTCCCATGTTTCCTGCGACCATGCAGATACGGATGCTTCGACCATGGGATCTCCATCTCCATCTCCATCAAAGAGACGTGTCGGTGTCTCTTACTACGAGACCAAAAACAGGAGGGAGGAGGAAAAACTCTCTCTGAAGAAGGAAGCATTGGCCTTGAAACGAGAGCAGCTCGCTTTCCAGCGCGATCTATTCAAGGCCGAGAGAGAGGAGAGAGAACGCAGGGATGAGCGTGATCGCAAAGAGAGAGAAGAAAGAATGATCGCAGATCGGGAAGAAAAGCATGAGATGCGAGAGATGATCATGCAACTTGTCAAAAAATATCGCCATTAACAATAAAGAACAAGTGAAATGAAGAGACACATCTTGCCTTTTCCATATCACGAAGCAACAAAATATCAGCAACAATGAAATGGCGACTATCCCTAATTTACCCCATTTTCAGCATATTTCCGCATTTGTATGTGTGCAGTCTCTTTCGGTCGATGAGAACATCCCAGAGTCTACATTTTTTGTCGAAACACTTAGAATTTCTTTTCTCATACCTTCTGGAAATAAAATCTTTATTTGAAGTACATTACAGTTACAAACCTCCCTTTGAGAGTCCGGAAACAAGAGCACGATCAAATAGACCCTTCTCAGAAGAATCGAGTACGTAGAATACCCCCCCAGGAAACTCCGCTCCTGAGGATATCATCACGGCTTCCACCTCCCATCCCCCAACCCCTCCAAATGAGCAATTGGGCGAAACACTTCTCGACCCTTTTCAATCCTGGGGACTATCTAACACAGAGCACTGTAAACTCGATGAACCAAGGAATGAAACCTGTAGTTCTGCAAACCATCTCCTGAATAAGCGAAGAACGAGATTTTCTCTACTCATGACACTCACCACCTAAAACTAAACGTTAAGGGTTCAGTAGACATCCTGACTGGAACGCTGGCGAACGCGAACAAGGAGACTGGAGTGGGCTTCCCGTCTCGTCTCCGGGAGGGACCAATACCATGATGAGAGAAAGAGGGAAGTCCAACCTCTCTGCAGCGCAATTCACTCTCGCCGATCGGAAGCTTTTCCCACATGGCAGCTGGGTGCCAGCATTCGATATTTGCCCTCGACGTATCCAACCATACTATTAGGCTGTTCCAAAATAAATGTCCGAATTCGATCGCAAACTTTGAAGGGTCGTAACTCAGCTGATAATGAACATTTTTAATCGAAGTAAGCACCATCCGCTTCAACACACTTCTGCCAACGAGATACAAGCTTGTTGATCCCAGTCGAGTAGAAATCCTGGGTTCTGGGGGCGATGAAATCCTTAAAGGCATCTTCGGCAGAGGTCTGATCATGGAAGTGTTTCTCCTCGACGAAGTGATCCAGGTGTTTGAAAAAGTGGTAATCCGTAGGTGATATGTCTGGGGAGTATGGTGGATGAGGCAGAGTTTCGTAGCCCAGCTGATTCAGTTTGCGTACGGTGAGATGTGCGACATGCGGTCGGGC